CAGGCGAAAAATAACAAAAAATGTTTATCAATTTATTGTGGTAGCATTTTGCATAAAGCTGGGGAGATTTCAAGTCATATTTTATAAGCAGTCGGAATATTAAAACAAAAGAATTTGAAATGTATGGGAATTTATTTAAGGTAATATATTTCGTATTCATCGTTTTTTTTATGTGGGTGATATTATTTGAGGTATTTTTATTGGACCAACACGATGAACTTTCAAAGATCTTTAAAGATTAACAAGAAAGGAAAGCTAACTTCGGGCGGAGCCGAAGTTGAAATACCCTTGCAGAATATTCTGCAAATTATATTCTCCAAAATTATTCATATGATGCAATCTTAATACTCATAAAAAATCCCAACTTCCTAACTTTAAAAACACCAAAGTTATGGCATTTCCAATCGTTCAGTTATATGGCAGCTATAGGATATAGTCGGCCGATCCTTATGAAATTTGATAGGTTGGATTGATTGGTTAAAAATACAACCCATAGAAAATCCCAACTTCCTAACTTAACAAAAACCAAAGTTGTGGCATTTCCGATCAATCAGTTATATGGTGGCTATAGGATATAGTCGGCCGATCCTTATGAAATTTGGTAGTTCGGATTGATAGGCCAAATATAACACCCATAGAAAATCCCAACTTCCTAACTTCACAAACACCAAAGTTATGGCATTTCCGATCAATCAGTTATATGGCAGCTATAGGATATAGTCGGCCGATCTTTATGAAATTTGGTAGGTCGGATTGATTGGCCAAATATAAAACCCATATAAAATTCCAACTTCCTAACTTAACAAACAGCAGAGTTATGGCATTTCCGATCAATCAGTTATATGGCAGCTATAGGATATAGTCGGCCGATCCCGGCCGTTCCGACTTATATACTGCGTGCAAAGGAAAGAAGGGTGTGTGCAAAGTTTCAATTCGATATCTTTAAAACTGAGAGACTAGTTCGCGTAGAAACAGACAGACGGACAGACAGACGGACAGACAGACGGACAGACGGACAGACGGACAGACGGACAGACGGACAGACGGACATGGCTATATCAACTCAGGAGGTGATCCTGATCAAGAATATATATACTTTATAGGGTCGGAGATGTCTCCTTCACTGCGTTGCACACTTTTGACCAAAATTATAATACCCTCTGCAAGGGTATAAAAACATATGAATTTTAAGCTCTCAACTTTTGTTTGACCAAATTTAATTTATCCTTTTCGCCTTCAGATAATTGAGTATTCTTACTTAGGTATTCAGTAGGTTGTAGTATTAATTCTTTGCTTTATTTTGAAAATGCCAATCCCCAGCTTAATTTAAATGGAGGTTCTCCTGACTCAAAGTGCCATGGCCTCACACATGTTGGCTTTTTCAATCTGACCATAAAGTCACACATTAAGCACACAAGATTTAACAGAATTTGCTCATTTCGCACTAATTTGAAACTAATTCCCCGAGTCTGCAGCAAAACACTGACCGCAAGACAAAGGCCAGTCTGAAATGGCCAATTGTCTGAAATGTTAAGCCTTTTAATCAATTGCCAAAAATACAAAAAGACCCAGACTGCACACACATATATTCCCAACTGGGGATTTCGTTCATTTCGAGCGGCATTAAGTTCTCATTGAGGGGACAGGCAAAATTTAGTTTTGGTTTTTCCTTTACGGATTTTAATGGGACCCTTTTGCTGACCAAAATGCTTAACCCCTGAAGAAGAACTTGGCCTGCTTTGCCCCACATACATCCCGAAAATAATATAAAAATCAATTTTCCTCGGTAATTACAGTTATGTGGGGGCGTTACGAACAATTTGACCCCTTCAAAAAATAACTAATTTTGTTTTTATCCTCTGCGGTTGCATGTGTAAAATGTATTTGAATATTTGATGACTTTGACAAGTTTGATTCGTTGGCAGAGTGACAAGCTGATAGACAAAGGTTTCCCTCGAAGATATCAGGTAAACGGCATATGACATGGAAATTGTTAATGATATATGAGGTTGGTTCTCCGATTTCCCATCTCGGCTTCTATTCATCTAATTGATTTCGTTGTGTGTCCAGTCTAGCATGTTACTTAGTCAGCAGCAGCCTGACAGTTGGACAGTTTTGTAGGCCTCACCCCGCGGACACAGGTTGTGTTTATAAAGTCATTACTAGTGGACGCGGTTCAGAGTTCCATCCTGACCCCAACCTGCACATCATCAGCCACATCAGCGCCTTTTTTCCAACACCAGTTCTGTCTACAGTCGAACTTCTCTAGTGACAACATTCATTATAATTCTAATTCTTGCAAAATTTAGGAATTTAGTAGATAGCAATATCGAATATATTCCTTGACAACATAATAACTTTTTCTCTGACTGAAACAATATTTTTAATATTATTTGCCTAGTAAAAACTTTCCCAAAAATGCTTTTCTGTAATTATAAAAACTGTATAACTTTTATAAAGTATTTTCTTTAATTTTACTCTTTACATTTCTCAGTTTAACATAATTCAAATGATTTCAATTAAGTATTAAGTATTTACCTTTGCAATTATAAAACTAAAATGTATGCTTGCATCTACGACATAGATTTTTGTATTTACCTTTGTAAAGCAATATTGCTTATATATTCAATTTATAGAATCCCAACTGTAATAGTTTTCCTATTGATTTTTATGCAATTTCATTTAATGACAAACGGCGGCTAACAAAAAATGTTAATTTCTACAAATTTTCACCGTGGCGCCAAGGTGACAAGGGATTTGGTGGCACCTCCATGTCACGGCTGTCCGTAGACTCGCACTCGGCTCGCATTTGTGGCACACGTGCCGCGGCACTTGGGCGCACGTGCCCCGCCCCCTCCGCCCATCTGCCCATCGGCCCATCTACCTACCGTTAGACATTTTGCCCGATCATGTTTGGGTTAATGAGTGGGGCGTGGCAGGGGCAGCGTTGATTGTTGATTGCCGGTTCAACTTGCAACTTGCCTCGAACGCGTGGCCACTCATTCTCGGACTGCAAATGCCTCAATATTCTGAAAGTCATGCCTCAGACTTAAATCCTTTTACTTTATTTTTGAAACAGCAAGGGTTAAGCTTTGTTTTCAACATATGTAATATATTATAAAACAACCAGCATTGCCAAACTTATTTTCATCAATTTAAAGATTGATCCCAGGACATTTCTTAGTTTTTAAAATTAATCCTAAATATTTTATTATTTTAAATAATTTTACCAAATAATTTGTTTAATAATTAGCTAAAATGTTAGTTTTCTATTACAATTGTTCACTTACTGTGCAATCCATTTCATTTTAATTATATTCAAATTCAATTAAAATCCAATAGAACTATGTACGTTTTTTGTACCCACCCCAATGCGCCATAATTCACTTGAAAAATATGTTTAACTTTAATGGGTTCATTTTCAAATCGATTTCCCTTCGCCGGCATAAATCAATTCCGGGCCAGCCCACCCACGCCCCTCCAATTAAGTGGCTCAAATATTTACAAACGCCCCCCGGGAAAAACTTAAATATTTTGTCACTGTTTGTTGGACACCCGACATTTAACCTTAGCCTGGAAGAAGACTCCCCAGACTTCCCCATTTTGTGGGGCACAGTGTGTATATATATTTGATGGCATTGGTATGGGTATGGGGGTACCAGAAGCCCAAGAGATCCACAGCTGCGTCAGCATCATTTACATTCAAATTAAAACGAAAACGAAACGCCAAAAGGAAATTTATGCCAAGGGAGCTACTGAGCCCAGAGTTTCCCCATCTTGTTCGTCTGGCAAATGATGAGTTTGTTACCATTTTCGTGTGGGGCGGCGCTCTGTTTGTTTTGACACTTGGACAACATGGATCTGTGGCGGTCTTGGCCTATAAATTACCCCGACATTTGACATATGTAGTGGTTGGTTGCTCCTGTAAAGATCGCCGACCGGCGATAGCCTAATGTTTTGTTTGCTTTTGTGATTAGTTTGTAATTAACTCGGGGCCCACATCGAAGATCGCTACCCACAGATATCTCTACATAATATTTAGGAGAAACTGCAGGTACAAATGCATATATAAATAGAATTTGGCAAGGTGCCAGATAGACAAATGCCGATAGCACCTTTTTTCAATGACTTCACCATATAATTAGAGGAAGTGTTATTATTATTTTCCCCGACAAGATGTTTATCCTCCAAGTTAATTTCTTTATAATTAGGCAAAGAGCGCCCTTCGAGGGCCCAGTATATAGTTATCAAAAAATGCTATTATTTCCGATTAGTTCGGGCCCTCAATCAAATTGGGAAAAGTGTGGAAATTTCCAAAGACTTTCAATACGATTTTCGTACGCTTATCCACACCAGAAATTCAGAGCCCAACTCAGTGCCCAATCATCCATCAAGACTCCACTTAAGACCCAAAAACTCTGGCGTGTCAATCGAGTTTTCTGAGCACCCGAAAATCCGAAATGAAAAATTTCACTTTGAGTGACCATGAAAATGCATTCGTTAAACACTCTCTTGTGTGTATCTGCGTATCTGTATCTTTGTATCTGAGCTGCAGTCCCCTTCGGTCTGCAGTCTCTTTTTCAATTTGTTCTGCTGGCAAGGCGACACTTGCACCCAAGGAATTACGCCTATGTGGAACAGGATATTTGGGCGATATTGGGTGAGAAATTCAAACAGGATTTCTGGCTACTTTGCATAGCTGTGAAGTGTTTGTTATTTATGTGAGGTATTTTTTATAGAGGAAAAGTAGCGGGTAATTTGAGTGTTGAAGAAACATGAGATGTGGGGAAAATTGTTGGAGATTTATTAAAATCAACTACCAAATATTATACACATGTTCATTAAAGAAAATGTTCATTGAAAATAAATTAAATACTTTCAAATTTAATAATTAACATGAGTATCATTCGTGATATTTAAAGATCCCCCAAACAAAATCTAAGATTGTCTGTAAATTCCCCAAATAAAAAAACCTTGATAACTTTTTGGTTCACATATTTTTATTTATTTTTGATTTGTTTTTGTATGTTTGTGTTTTTTTTTTGTTTGATAATTTTGTTTAAATATTTTTCGTGCTTTCACTTTCTTTTAGCGTTCACATTGAATACAGATTATGGTTTTATTCTCCTCTAATTTATGCTAAATAAATCTTCTCGTTTTCGCCGGATAAATAGAACTAACTGAAGCGTCTATGAATTTATTGTTAATACTATGAATATATCATTAGATGTAATAGCATAACTAACGGTTAATGTTTACACTATATATAGCTACATATAGTTTACAATCGTGCATCGTTTTTATTTATATATTTATTTGTATTTTTTTTGTTTTGCTTGCATAGTTTTTGAGTGAATTTCGTTCTAACTTTACACTGAGATGAGTTTTTGAACAACATTGAAACATTTGTACAATAAATTAAACTAAATTACAAAAATTCTCTAGGGGAAAGTGAAAAGAACTGTACAGCTTAAAAATAATTCAAAATTTTTACAACAAATAGAGAGAAATGTTTTCTTTGCTTTCATATAAACAACAAATAATTTACAACATTTAAAACGAATTTAGTTTCGCTTAGATTGACTGAGGCTAAAAGTTGTCTAAAATTAAGAATTATATTGTAACTGAAATGGTAAATAATTTTTGTTTTTGTTATAACACCAAAAATGTTTATAAATTTATATTGATATTTTAAATTCAAATATTATTGTTGTTTGTGGTTTATAGAAATATTATTACCAAATAAATTGTCTGTCCTTTCGAAAGTATTGTTTTACCTTTAGTGTAATATATTTACTTTAGACAACTTGTAGCCTCAGTGTGTTTAGTTTTTAATACTGCTCGTGGCAAGAACTTGAGGGGCGGGGGCCTGTTAACATAGTGGGCGGGGCTGCGGGAGGCGTGGACGACGGGCGGCGAGCCGGCGGCGGATGAGGGCGGCCCCTGACCGCCGGGCAGTTGGTAGGGACTGAAGCGCTGATACTGACGCGGTCGCATATCCGGCGACGGCGATCCCGAGGACGTCGACGAGGGCGTCGAAGCGGTGGGCGGGGGCGGGGGCGTCCGGTTGGCGGCCATTACCGCTGCAGCGGCGGCGGCTTGCGCCTGCGCTTGAGCCTGAGCGGCGGCGGCCTGCTGATTGGCGCTGGCCAAAAAGCCGGCGGTAAGTTGCGGCCACTGCTGCTGGAACATGTGGAAGGCGCCCAGTCCCGGCGGGGGTGGTGGGGTCCCGCTGCCGCTGCTGCCGCCTGGTACATCTGCGGCATCATCAGCTGGGCGTACGGCGAATTGCCGCCGAACATTTGCAGGTGCTGGCGGGCCTTCTCGAACAGCGCCATCGAGGAGGGATCGCCCTGGGCGGCAAACTGCTGCATCAGCGGATCGGGGAACAGACGCAGTGGCGAGCGGAGCTGCTGCTCCAGAAGCAGTGCCTCCATGGGATCGCGATCGAAGTCGGTGAGGCGGGAGGAGTCGCGGAATCCCTTGGCAAACGGATTCGAGTCGATCTTCAGCTTGGTGATCAGCTGGTTCTGATAGGCCGTCACCGCCGTGAAGACCGTTTCCGGGAACACGTAGGTCTTGTGGTCCAAGTCCTGCAGTTCCTTGGGATTCGACGGAATGCTCTGGCCATGGCTCAAACGCACCAAGTGGATCCTGGGCTGGTATCGGTGCATCGAGTTCAAAACGATCTGGAAATGGATAGAGAAAAGGGAGAGGGTTTCATTGTAGTAAACGGTTGAAATTTATGTAGCTGCCAACTAGCAGAGTGGGGAAAATGATTGATGTAGCCCTTAAAATTACAACATTAAATCAGGAAATAATAAATTAACTTTTAATCATATTTTATATGTTTTATTTTTGGTTTTTCAAATTTAGCAAATATAGAAAAATGTTTAAAGTTAATATTCAAATGAAAATGAAATAAGATCAAGATTAATCAACAAAGAACTTTAGTGTGCCAACTAGGCGAATATTTCTTTACATGTATACTCCCGTGTCGCAAAATTATCAATCATTTAGCACTCGCGGCTAATCGCTACCTCAGCATCTGAGTCTCAGTATCTGAGTATCTCAGAGCCCGAGTATTCGCGCAACTCACCTGTCCGTTCTTATCCATTTCGTTATTAGTCAGCTTCACCTTCTCGAAGGAGATAACTTGTTTGCGCAGCGCCTCGCAGCTGAACGGACTGTCGGGATGGGCGTAGAGGCGGGCTGGGGGGGCGGGGTCGGCCTTGCCGGCCACCAGCCAAGCGGACCGGTGGTAGGCGTACCGATACCGCTTCGAGTCCATGGGGATAATGTCCATCAGTACGGCGTAGCGATCGGCGGGCTGGATTTGCCTCAGCGGACCCGAGAAACTGACTCGCACAGTGGGGAACATGCGTCTGAAAAGGGTACAAAAAGCACTCGATTAGATTTGTGTCACTCATTCAATATTTTGGGATGCCATTCCCATTGCCCCACACAGCTAGTTAAGTCGGGAATTTATAGCCTAAACCTGGGGCATCTACTATTCCATTTTCCAATATTTTCTTTTACTTTTCCCCTGCTTTGACAAGTGCAGACAATGAAAACAAAAGCGAAACTCTTCCTCCCTTTAAGTCAGTTTAGGAGACTACAAAAAAAATGTGTAATGTGTATCCTCTCTCTCGTATATCCTGTGGTTTAATGTCCCTCCAAAGCGTTGGTGACATAACCTCGGGCTGAAAAGGGCGAGCAACTGGGACCGCCCTGATGTCTGCGTCTCCGAGGTGTGATTTTTACAATATCATTAAGGTGCGTGTGTATCTGTGTATCTGTGTGACCTGTGTGTGTGGTCAGGTGTGTGTGTGGGAGCAAAGGTGTGGACAACCCGTGGTCATGTGGATTGAACTTGTTCCTGTTCCCATTCCCATTCCCCCGCTGACAACAGCAACGCCCATAGCTCTGATTTTCCTCTCTACTTCTACACTAGGTGCAGAAAATTCGCCTGCAGGTAAACAAATTGTTCGATTTTTGGCACAGTTTCCCTCTGAAGGATGGACCCCACACAGTCCCTGAGATGCCATGAAATTTTTGTTGACATCGCAAACCATTTGGCAAGCCAATTTATGGTGTTGCCAAAGAACATAAAGGCTGACTTAAGGAGAACGTTTTTAATGATGAGACACGAAGACAGTTTGGATTTGGAAATAAAAGAGTTTTTCAGAAAGGTGATGAGCCAAATATTGAGCTACAACATGGATACACAAAAGAAAGCTGATATTATTTAAAATTATGAAGTTAATCTTTGGAATATCAAGTACAAAAACTGTTGGAGCAATAACTAGGCGAAAGAAAAGTTAAATTGGCATTTCAAAATGCAAAAAATTTGAATATAATTGTAATAAAAATTTATAACCAATTTCTAGTTATAAGCTCTTCCATAAAAATGATATAGCCACCCCTTTCACCTCCTAATCTCTCCCACGTTGTTCGCCCGTTTAAAGTTTAAACTAATACCTGTTTGCACTGCCGACTGATGGAATGACTGACTGACTGACTGACTGACTGATGGATGGATGGATAGTTGCTTGTTTTGGATGCTTACCTGCCCGTTTTGGTGATGATCATCTCGGTGCCGAGATCGTGAAAGCGATCCCACAGCTCTTTGGTCTCCAGGTGGCATTGCACCGGCTTCAGGTCGTCGCAATTGCAGGAGCCGACAATTTTGGGTGCCTTCTGCACCGGTTCGGGTGTTAAACGCTCCTCACTGTCCTCCGTTCCCGGGGATTGGGGTGGTGTGGAGCAGCGTCCTTGGCTGCTCGTGGAGCTGGTGTTCAGTTGGGATTCGGCGGAAGCTGTTTGTGCCACGGCGCCGGCGCTGTTGCGACTCTTGTGTGCCACATTGTTGTTATTATTGTTGTGGCTGTTGTTGTTGTTGTTGTAGTGCTGGTGGTGGTGGTGATTGTGATTGTGGTGCTGATGGTGATTCAAACGTCGCGCCTTGGTCGGCGGCTCCTCGGCATCGCTGCAGTCAACCACATCAACGTCAACCTCATCCTCCACCGAAATGGGACCTTAAATGACACAAGAAAGAAAAGCGAAAATTGAAAATTAAATGAGAATTACAGGCTTTGGTTAAGCTTAAGTTAAATGAAAATGGTGCACAGAGGTGAAAAGCGCTAAATCAAATGCGGAATCCATTTGTAGAGTATTTATTATGGAGAAGTTGAGACATTAAGTAAACATGATAGGCATGATTTTAAAAGATTCGTATAGAACTCCTTTCTAATATTTCTTATTTAAAAGGGTTGGATTGCAATGCAACTAGAAAGTATGACATAACAAGTAAACAAAGCCACTCTATGCACTTTAAATATATGAAAATCATCGTTTCTTAAGATCAATTTTCAAACAATCCATATAGATATATTTTCCGAATTTTCCAACGACATTTCCGCTGTGCAGGTGGCCAAACTAAGGCCGTTTCACTGTTGACAACACTGACTGGTGGAGCTGATTCCGCGGCAGACAGCGTGGAGTCGTCTCATATTCTTGGAGTTTCCGCTTCGCTTCGCGTTACAATGAGACAATACGACGACCGCTCGCTTAATTGGCAAACTGAACACAAATTGGCAATTAAACAGCCCGAGGCTCTAGCTGCGATTGCTCTTTTTCATTGCATAAACAAAAGTGGAGGGCTTCAAGGTGTGTGCAAGTTGATGAATAATTTTTTTGGGGCCAGCCCTAGGCGAAATGTCGCGTACGCTTTCCACTTTTAAGCCAACTCGATAGCGAAATGATTGGGCGAACCAGCAAGCTCGTTTTTTTTCAGGTGAGCCCAGACGGTAGGTGTTAAAATGCAAACTAAGCAAACGGAAAACGACGGCAAAAATGCCAAAGAAATAAACAAAACAAAATATAAAATTAAAAAGCTGCATATTTGATAAGAGATCGTAAAAAATGAACAGCTCATATAGACTTAGTTTTGGCTTTGTTTTGATTTTGGCCGTCGCTAATTTTCTGCGCCTCGTAAAATTAATAAAATGAAAATTAATTAACATAATTAGCAGCTTTTGTTAGCGTCCGTCACAAATATGAATTCCACGCGATTAGATGCTGTGCACAATTTGCATATTATCGGCCATAAATGAGCGCTGCAAGTGTTCAGTATACAAATTTGTATCTGATCCGCGATCTTTCGCTTGGCTTAATTGTGAATGCCGTCGGCCAGATATAACTAGTTATTCCAACTTGGCTCGAACGCCTGCTAATTGTCAATGACAATTAAATCGAATAGAGCGTACCCAAAGCGACAACGGTAATTTAATAGATTTGTTGTGCAATCAATTAGCGATTGTCTTGTGGCTAATAATTTTTGCATTTGCCGTTCTGGCGTTGTTCTATTCTTAGGCGTTGATTTGTTGATGGGTTTTTAAAGTCATTTATTTTTTTGTTATAACAAGAGTATAACAATTTTGCGGTTCAATATGTGTTTATTAAAATATTAATTAAATCAAATAAGAAATACTGCCTTATCTGACACTCTAAAAACACCTATTGTACCTATTGTAAAGCTTTATTTTATATTGTGAAGATAAAACTTACAAAGAGAAAACTTTCTGAGAATAATTGTTGAGTCAAACACTTTCATCACCTTTTAATTGTTTGTTAATCAAAGACTATGTACTTTAACAACTTTTTATGGTTACCATGACTGTTTTATGTATATTATGCCTTTATAAATTCTATTAGGTATAACTATGTACATATGTGCTTCTGTAAAACACAAGTTCAGGTTTCTATTTGAGAAGAATCTTTAATTTAAGCCCTCAAACCCAAAAATAAGAATTTGTATGTGAAAGCTTATAATTATTTTGCCTGCGGTAAGATATATTTTCTGTTTATGTGTGAAACACAAGAGCTGTTTGTTTAATAAAAAGTATCTATAAGATACATTTGGGATCTAAGCGCCTATAACTCATATGTTTATAAAGATATATATCTATTCTAACTATTTATTGATGAATTCCGATTTTTCCTTTATTTTAAGTTGTGTTAAGATGTTTCTCTACTTACTTGCACTACGAATTGAGGACTCCCGGCTGGAGGCATCTTCGCGGGCCATTATGGCGGCGATGGAGAAGTCCGTCGCTGAGCCGGCGGCACTTTTGCTGGCCGTTGTCGTTGTTGTTTGTGCACTGCCATTGGCAGCGGGGCTTGCGGTGGCGGCGGGAACGCCGTTGCACAGATAAGGATGCGAACCGACCAGCATTTTGTGGGAATTTGTAGTTCTTTAAGGAGAATTTAAGAAGGACTTAACCTGTTTTTTCAGGTATTTCGATATATTGTATCTGGACACTTGTCAACACTTGGCACTTATAAAGCAAGCTGCATTTTCAGCACTTTGTAGCTTGGATTCTTAAGGGGTTTCTATGATTTGTATCTTTCTAACATTATCTTTCTTTCAGCTTGTATCTTTGTATCTCTCTGTCTTTGGCGCACGCGAACTGAGAATCTCGCGGACTGAGTGTGTGCGCAACGGAAGGCAGGCGACGCCGAACTGAATTGTGTCAGGAAATTGTTGCCGCTGAGAAGCCAAAAACGACGGCAGGCACAAAACTCGGGAAACCAGTTTTCCCTCTTATGGTACACCCCAGTGCAAGCGGGACAACCGTATTGCAAGCGCTTCAAAACCAAGAGCGAGTGGGACAGGCCTATCCCTATGACTGAGTGAAAACGGCACTCGCTCTCTCGTTTTCCAAATGGAAAAGCGGCGGGGGAGTTAACGTGCGACAGAGAGAGGCGCTGTCAGCAACTTTCTCTTTTCCTCTCCTCTCTCTCTTGCGAGAGCGTCATAACTCATTTACAATTAAAAATGTCGGCGCTTTTAGGCTCTCTCGCTTGCACTCACTGGCTTCTCCCAGGCCGTCTCTCTTCGCCTCTCTTTCTCGCCCATTTATGAAGTGCCAACGTTTTGCTTGCGGTTTTTCTTTGCCTCTTTTTTTTTAGACAACTTTTCGCCGTTGTCGTCGCATTCCGTTTCCTGTTATCTCCTCTTCTGACGTTTTCTTCCATCTTCCGTTTTGAGCGGCTGTTTCATTTCGTTCCCAACACGTTCCGCAGTTCACTCAATTTTGTTTGAGTGAGTTTTTTTTGCTTGGTTTTTTTGTGCAGTTGCATCCTGCTGATTTGGATGTTTTTTACTTATCTACAAGGACATGAACCTTGAGTCAAGGTTATTGCAATCAGGCGTAGAAAATTTATTAGTTTCAGTTAAGAACTTTTTGTTTTATGCTAATAACATGTGTGAAATTTACAGAACAAATTTCAATTAAATGGCTTTTAATATATACAAAATTTTTTTTTTTAATAGGAGCCAAATTTAGAAGAACAGTTCATATTTTCCTATTTAACTTTTATTATTGCCAATTAGAATTATTTATTGTTTATTACGCAAAAAAAAACATTGTGTAGATTTTTTTTGAGTAAGAAAAGGTTATGTTTCATGTAATAATGTATATATTTAGCTGTTACGGTGTTCGTTGTCTTAAAAATGTACTACCAGCTCCTTGTAAAATGGTTTAAACGCGCAAGTCTTTTAATTTCAAACTCTTTAAACAACCCTTTTACTTTAACCCTAACTTTAAATTTTAATTATGGTGACACACCACTTGAGGACTGTAGTTTTTGCAACAAAACTACTATAAAGTAAATAAAAGGGGTAACGCCCCCTCAATGCTATTATTTTGTGTAATTACCTTAGGACCATTTCTTATATTTTGCTTGCTACATACATAATAAAAGCCACTGCTCCGTAAAATTCCCCCATAATATTTACCGATGTCAACAAATCGTTACATTTCCCAGGCCAAAGTCAAGACCTTTGTCAGTGCCAATTAACCCGCTAAAAAATGCAAAGAAATTGCGGTTGGGAAAAGAAAATTCATACCAAGTGACAGTTCGTCAAATTCATTACGTGTCGTTAAGGGTCGCCAATCACAGTGACGGAAGTCCTGAGATCCTGAGATCCAGAATCCAGGATCCGGAACCTGAAGATCCCAACTAACTAACAAGCTGACTAATCCCGCTTATCCTGTGCGAAGAAAATATCTTCTTGTTGTGTGATTTCTGTAATTTGAGACATTTTTTACGTCGGGAAAGACAAAGTGGGCATGTCACTTTGACACTTTCACCCGGGGAGAAATTGTAAAAGTGGAAGGGGAGGTACTCAGACTTCGTGTGTGTTCCATTTACAATTGCAGTCAATATAATAGAACTAAAACTAAAGTACAATGTAGCCTTTGTAATCAAAAGGCAAGATTTGTGATTCTCAAATATACTCCAAAAAGTTTACCTTTAAAAATGTAGGAACAACGCTATTACATTATAAGAGGCAAAGTAAAGTCATAACAAAACTGTCTTTCTTTATATAAAATAAAGTTTTAGTTCGTTTATTACATACTAAAATTAGTAACTGATGACTTGAAAGTTTGAATAGGTTACTTTTAACTTTTAACGTTAAACAAATAGCAGTATCAATAAAAAATAATTTAAAATAGTTAGTAAAATTATAAATACTTTTTGTTAAACGTTCGAAAGTCTGCCAATAATCCTATTGTATTGTCCTTGGCTGTTTATCTGCATGTGTGTCTTTTTAGGTGGCAGTCGCGTATGTCACCAAAATGTCAAAAGCCAAGGAAAACACAAGTTGTGAAAACAAAGGGCAGCCGCTCCGAAAAAGTGGCCACTTGGCACTTGTAAAAATAAACAATTTTGCTTGTTAATTAGTGCGGCTAACTGTCCTCGTTTGACTTTCTCCTTGTTATGTCCTTTCCCTCTTGAATTCTCAAGTACTTGGCCCTCGGCTTTGTCGGCAATTTATAATTTCTTCGATACTTTTCGCTTTTTTTGAACGATCGCTTTGGGTAATCGAATACTTTCACTTTGAATTTGGCCGACATGACTGTGGAAATTTTTCGCTGGTCAACACAGGGACATATTTTCCTGCTCCAATTTTCCTGGGCGGTCACTTTGATTGATGATGAACGGCAATAGATAACTAATGTTGTGAGCTGGCTTCGATTTCATTTTTCACTCTGCTCACTTAAGTTTCCCTTATTTTGTCTGCGGCATTTCCGCTTCTTAAGTTCGAATAACACTTTCCGGGGCTTCGATTGCAAAGGGTTTATCAGGGGGGTTTTCGTTTTGAGCACTTGAGCCGCCCTGAAGTGGGAGGCACGTGTTCTTATTATTTTTATTTTTATTTTCTCAAGGGCTCTGAAGACAGGGGAACGGAGAATTTCCGCTTGGCACTTGCCTCGATTTCAAAACCGCCCGATAAGCATTAAAAGCGGAAGCAACCCAAGCACTATAGAGTTTCTATTTATAAGGCGGAATTGCAGCAACATGTGTGCGGATGATGAGATGGGGAAATATGAAGTTCGGTTATGTATAATTATTAAATAATAATTTCATGGACTATTTATCAGATATTATTTGAGACAGTCATTATGTAAAATGCCAAACATTTATAATAGGAATCTTTATAGTTTGTAAAACATAAATATTACATTAAGGCAGTTTAATTGAATATTGTGTGCTTCTTTAAAAGTATTTTAAAGTAAATGTTTATTGTAAGCCATCTTACACTTTTTTAGTTTTACCTGTACCAAATCGTTTTACAAAATTAATAATTCATAATCCCACAGAATCTTTATTCTTCCTCGTAAGATCCTCAAATCACATTAGGCGGCTTTCCAGTTTTTGGTGCCGCATTGTCTGGCGGTCAGGACATTTGGCAAATCATCTTTCAGCCTTCACGCATTTCCCTCGTGTCCTGCAAACAGCCCGCAAATATTTACCAAATATTTTCCATTATTTTCAGTTGTTTGCAACTGAGAACGCCCACCAAAAAAAAAATAAGGAATATTTCTGGGTGTATGAGGAGGAGGGCAGGGCAACCGGTTTGTCTGGGTGTTTTGTTCTGGAATTTATTAATGAAACTCATTGGGTTGGGTTCGCTTTTTGGGCTTTGCCCTGGGGACCTGGTTATTTTGGCTGCATCTTCAAACCAGAGCCGACGCTTTGATAAATGCCCGACACTCTTTGGCTACCGGGTCCGAGTTTTTCCACTCATTTTTCCTCTTAGCCCGGTAGCAATTCCGCTAAAAGTTGGACTGCTCTTTTTTTCCAGTTATTTGTTTATGCAAAAAACCACAGAGCACAGACCACAAGGAATAGTGGCAAATTTTCTGGGAATTCCCTTTTTGCAGTCACCATAAATCTTTGTGTATCTCCAACTCGGCTGGCTTTATACATATATAAACTGTATACAGTATACAGTAACAATTGTCACACCTTTCGGCGGCCACTCAGCAGCCCCCCCCCCCACTCCCCCCTCTTAACCCTCTGTGGTTCTGTGTGTGTAATTTGACTCATTAACAAACCGAATCCGAGCCTCAATCTCTGATGTCCGTGTGTGTGTTTCGGAAGGGTTTTCGGTCTGTCTATGCCACATAAATCACAACTTAAACGATGCGTAATGCTGAGGCCCCAGATCTTTGCTTTATTTATTTGTTTTCCAGCTCTGAAATTTATGTCATTGTCGGGCAACGCCTTTCTTGTTTTCCCTCCTCTTTTTTTTTAACGTTTTCCCCGTGCAATCGGAGTCCAAGCTTGAGTTTGCTTAATCTCCACTAAAACGCCCATTTTGTGCACCTTAACACTAAATTTACATATCCACTGGGGCAGCTGGTGGATCCTGTTCTTTTTTTATGGCCCAATTACAGACGGTGATTTCACATTGCAAATCTGGAGTTTCCGCCCGGCAGCTGCAAAAAGACAGCGACTTGGGGATTGGATCCTCAAGATGCCCGAGATTACCCAAGTGTCCATAATTGCAGCAGGCGAAATGATTTCACTTTGAGTTGGCAATTTGCCGGTAATTATTACTCAATCCACTGGGGAGAGAAAACAGCAAAATAATAAGAAAAATTCATAAAATATCAAGAATATTGCACAGCATCTAAGTGGGCAAAATGTTATGAAAGTAAGGCTAACATTTTAAATTGTAATTTTTACAATTTACATTTTTAAATACTTATGTTTTGGGTATGGCAAACATGAAATCAGTATATTTTTGGAAGTTTTCAAACCAAAATTAAAAACCATGGATGGTTGCACCTCCAATTTGTAATAAATAATAACAATTTCCTAAAATTCTGGAAAAAAATTTACTCACTCCAATTTGTAATACATAATAATAATTTCCGAAAATTTTGGAAACTATTTACTCACTTCTAAGTTTTTCATTTTTTTTGTACTTATCCACAATTTGCGTATGCTAATCCCTTAGATAATTCCCTTCGAGCGGCAACTTTTGTAGTGGCATCTTCTGCGAATTCCTGCCACTTCCTGGGGCAAGATCAAACGCACCGTTTTTTGACAGATATCCGCCAGTGCGGTTGATCGAATGGCTCGGCCTTAAGGTGTCAATTACAACAGGTCCCGAGAACATCCTTCGCCATTTGAACTCGACCGCCGGGAGGAG